TCCATGTAAAATTATATTTGAATTTCTCATATTTAAAAATTCAAAATCTTCAAATGACCCCGGATAGGAAAACGACCAAAACTAAAGTTGTAGAACTCGAAAAGTTATATAACTTTATAGTTGACAACTTTATCATTTGAATTTGTTTAGGGTACCAAATACTCATTTTAAATCTAGATGAAAATAAAATGTGGAGGATGGATATCACAAATCGACACAATTGTTTTATGGATAGAGTAGTTACGGGATGAGCACTTGAAGTCTATGGTCATGGGTTCAAGCGCCGGTGGCCGTGTAGCATGATTTTCAAAAAAATTATTTTGCTATTTTTACTAGGCGATTTTGGTTTTCTAGTGATTTTCAAAAAAAAATATTTTGCTATTTTACTAGGCGATTTTGGTTTTCTAGAAACCCCGTAACTGCCCCCCTCCCTCCCTACCACCACTTTCAGTGATAAAGAGGTTTTAAACCGGTAGTGAAGAATTGTTCTGGCGTGGTGCCATGAAGTCTTTTTCGTGTCTCGAACATTTTTTTACCGTGAACACATTGATAAACTAAACCCATTGCATAATATTTTTTTATACTAACAAATATATATATATATATATATATATGGAGAAATAACTATTAAAAGTTGTAGATCTTAAAAGTTATAAAACTTTGTAATTGACAAACTTTTCATTTGAAATCTCCTATCCATGAAAAATTATGTTTGAATTTTTCATATTTGAAATGAGTTATTCTATTTACTTTGATTACGAATTTCTAATTACTATACTAATTTACTTCAGAGATTATGGTAATTCTCTCATAAAGAAGATGAATACTTGTAAATTGACTTTTCATTTGAAATCATCTATCCATGTAAGATTTACTATAACATTATGGTAAGTGTTATCTTGAATTATAGTAACCCATGTATAAAATAATGTGTGTATTATTATTATCGTAAATTGGTACAAACATTATAGGCAATAAATCAAGATGGCTATAGAATAAAATTATTCTGGCGTGGTGCCATCTCGAACATTTTTTTTACTGTCAACACATTGATAAAACTAAACCCATTGCATAACATTTTTTATATAACAAATATTATATATATATATATATATATATATATATATATATATATATATATATATATAAGCCCCTCATTGAATTTTTGACAAGAAATAACGAAGGAGATGGAGAAAGAAGACAGCGCCCCCGGGCACAGAGCAAGGGATCCCTATTTAGTTTGTCTTTACCTGCAAAACGAAAAAAGATCCCCTAGCTGCATTATACTACCACTATTCTCAATGTAGGTGAAAGAGAAGTTCTGGTGTCGCATAGCTAGCAAGCATCCCTGTCACGGATGGATCGACCACTCCACTTTTGGCACAGTACTAGCTAGATATATATGCCTTTCTATCTGCTGTCCTACTCCAATCATGGAACAAAAAAATGCTGATGAGATTCCTGAGCCAAGCAAACTGTAGACGGAGGTCGGCCACGCGCAAATCGCTGGATATTAGATCCAACAGATATTTGGATTGGCGTCATCACAATCTTGAGGCCGGGTTGCAATGCAAGTTGCTGCTGGGCGGCAGCGGCGGCGCAGAATTGCTGCGATCCGGCCCGCCGCTCTTTCAGCAGCACTTCCGCGTCCTATGCATCGTATCTTTCTGGCAGACAATCATTATTCCACTCGTACCTACGTCGTCATCATCTCGCAATCATTGGGCCCGTTTGTGGATTTGCGGCGGGCAAACGAACGTGCAGCCTTGTCAACCGCACAGCACAGCCTCGTCGGGTGCGATGCAGAGACGGGTTTCGTCGGCACTGCAACGTCCATCGGCAAGTCGTCAGTCTTCGTCTTGACCTCCCGCATGTATAGCTCCATTCTCTTATCTTCTGGTGGTGGAATCACAAAAAGATTAATCACTAAGGTCACCCAAAAACCTTTTTTTTTTAGATTTTTTTAGGTGGCACACCGTTTATGATTTTGGGCTCTATTACAACGCTCGGATTTTGGTGATTCTTTATAGGCGGACCTCTCCTGTAATCAAATTTCCACATATGAATGAATGTATTATTAATGCAACCAAATGCATTTCAATGGGCTGTACACAGTTTATTTAGTGGCTTAACTAGCATGCGAAGTCATGTTAGAACAATGCATCCATTCAAGTGATAAAGATGATGGCTTCCAACAAATGTACTACATGAGCGAATTGAACATATTTATTTGGTCGATTCTTGTGGCATTTCATCATAATTATGCCCAAGGTTTTTAATTTTTGATACTTCAAAATTTTCAGCCACCGCAAAATTACTGAAATTCGCAAAATTTTAGTGGAATTTCACCAAATCCTTTTTGACTAGAATGACTAGAATTATTTTTTCCTAAAATTTATATCTAAAAAAATTAATAGCATGATTTATGACTACACATCTATAGAGTACAAGAACATGCAACATAAATAATACAAAATATGAGTCTAAATTTAGATATTTACAACAAAACATTTGCATTAGCGTAATACAAAATTTTGGTTATTTCTTTGAGCCACCTCCGAAATTACCAAAATTTGTGAAATTCACAACCCTGATTGCACCACTATTATTATTATTTGTTTCTTGATTCTTAAATGGCGAAAAACCATCACATTAAGATGGCGTCCCCCTCTGATGAAGACCGGCAAGATCATTTGTATGCCATTGCAAATAACATATTCATCGGAGGGGGATGCCATTTTTCGCCATCTTAATTATTGTGATGGTTTTTCGCCATCTTAATGTATTTGATCAAATTTGAATTCAAACTAAAATATGGTAAATACTTCTATCCAAATTTAAACCTATCATTATACATACTCTGTTAAAAAATATCTTACATACATGAAAAATATCAACTGCTGACATATTACATTTCTATCCAGATTTGGAGCTATGCCGAACATGCCCTAATTAAATGCCTCAATTGCAACCATTTCCTACTTGATGACAAAATGGATACTGTGCCAGCTAGAAAGCAAGAAGAGTGATGGCATGCAGCCTGAACTATTGTCCCTCCCTTGAGTGGCTAGGCATAACATGGAAAAGTAAAAGTCACTCTCATCGTCTTTCTTTCTCTCTGCACCACCTAGATATAACCTAGCAGGAATATCCCGTGGAGAGAGGGGTGGTAGTTGGTTTCTTTCCGATTGAGAGATTCCACCTTTTGTTTATCCTCTTCCCACATCTATTTCACCAGGATTACATTGTTAGAATGGACCTTATGTAAAAGGAGATTGTGGGCATCGAAACAAGTGTCGTCGGCAGCGGAAGAGGACAACATTTTTAGCCTTATGGTTTAGTACTCATTTCCTGAAGTTATCTGATATATAATTGGGTATAACGGAATGATGGTGAAATTGTTATGCAAGTAAGAAAAGATGATAATAATGTAATTGATATACTTCTGTGAAGAATAATAATTGAAATTTAATTACAATATATGCCAAGCACTCATTATTATCAAATTCGGTCCCAAGAACAGACTAAAGTGCAGCTACAAAGTGGTATCGTTTTCTGCAATAACAAACGAAGAGTTATATTGGTCAAGCACGTGCCCGCGTTAGAGCTCGCAGCACCCTTTATTCAGACAACCAGCTTTTATCTCGCAGCTTAGGTACTGTTCACATTATGGGCCTATTTGACACAGCTCACAATAACTTCATGAGCAGTTATGAGCTGTTTTATTTGCTAAACACTCGTTTCCAAAACAGATTCACCCATGAAGTTGTTTTTCTCCCCCTCTTATAAAGACATGAGTTAGGATCAAGCTGAAAAAAGTAGCTTATCATAGCTCTCTCCCTCATTTCTCTCTTCCATTCATACATAAAGTTGTTGGTGAAGCTGTTTTGGCAAACAGTTTTTCCCAAAATAGCTCAGCTTCATCTAGAAAGTTGCTCATGAAGCTGTTTTCTAAAATAATAGCTTTGCTAGAGAAGTTGAGCTGTGCCAAGCATACCTATGTATTGAGCTGCCAATGCTTTTGTACTACGTACACCGTACCGGCGGAGCTAATTGCCTTTGCGGCTGTGCATGTGTTGTGGCGTACCACGATTGACGAGATGAAAGTACAGACACCATCAGTTATCCTATATATATAAGATAAGATGGGCAGATAAACCGTGTGGGCCTCTGTCCAAGCTTGCAGTATTGCCTATTTAGGCTCAGATTTAATGATATTATTTTAAAGAATATACAAAATTGCATCTCTTATTGGGTATATGACTTCAAAATTGAGTTCATATGACAACCATTCATTTTTAACAAGAGTTTCAACGAATTTACATATTATATTGCGCCTGAATAGTGTTTTGAGCTACAGCTAGCTAGTTGGGGAATTCTGTTTATTTATTAATATTTTTAGCTCATATATATGAGAAATGTGAAATTTTTTGACAAGATATTCAACTTTCATATCGCACCTGAATAGAGTTTTTGAACTGTTACTAGTCTGCTGGGAATTTCAGTTGATTAAACTCATCATACTACACCCAATCTCTTTTGCTGTTAGCGAAGAGATGCAGCAATACTTGACCTTTCCGTTCAAGAGTTAGTACACCTTTGGGCAGCAGAGCTAGTGCAAATATTAATGTGTAGGGAACACAATATTCTCTGTTTTCTCGATGCACGGACATGTTGAAACGACGTTGTTTCACTGTTAATAGACAAATGTTATATATAGCGGTAGCTTGATTCAATGAAGCACATTTCAGATAGATAGAGACATATATATAGTCCATAATTTGATCTGCAGATGGACTTTTGTATAAGGACGAGCATCGGAGCCTATTTATACACTCCAACGCACTATATTGTGTCCCATAAATTACCCTTGACTATTACATAAATCAGTAGCATATATATATCGTTGAAGCAACCAACAACGAAGATTATTTTTTGTGGTATGTGCTAGCTTCTCGATGGGTCACTGTGATTGTTGTATCCTGTCTCTTGATTCATCATCACCTGTACCTCCGGCCACCGCAGCTGCCCTCCCTCTGGCAGTTGAAGTAGGTGGCGGCGACGGGCGGTCCGAGGCTGTAGCAGGCGGCGAAGTCCCTGGTGTTGAAGTTGGCGCGCCACCCGGGCGCGTAGATCGCTTGTCGGACCGCCTGCCGGAACACGATGAACACGAATCGGTGGATCCCCGCCGATGGCCGGGGGCTCTCGTACTCCACCACCTCGTTTCCTGGTGGACGCATGCATGCATGCAGTTATTAAATATATTGTCACATGAAATTCAAACACACATGCAGCTGTATATATGTATAAGTTCATCAGATCAGATCACTTACCATGATTGGCACCAGCTCCTTCTGGTATGTCAGTCACCAGCCTATATAAGTGTCATATAAGCAAGTCGTTGTTACATCAGTCACCAGGGAGGAATGCAGCATATGCATGACACGAACTGAAAGCAGCAAAGATTGAAGTAGCTAGCTAGCTGCTTGTTGGAGCTTGAATGCTTGATTATAGTTGGACGGCGTGCAGTGCTTACGTACCAATGGAGATACTCCCGTTTGGAGGGGTTGCTTGGGCTGGGTGCATCAGGGTCCAGCATCACCAGCGTGTAGAACGCCGGCGTCCCGTCGCAGTGGCCTCCCGTGATGTGCACCGTCGGCTCGCCGGCCAGCTGCGACGGCCTGAGCTCCGACCCACAGGTGATCTCGCGCCCGCCGTACATCACTCGGAGCAGCGCCGACGCTGCGAAGTTGTCGACGATGTCGCCCACGATGCTTCCCACAACAAGCGGATCCCTCGACGACATGATGCGATCGAGCTAGCTAGCTAGCGCTGATTATATATATATTGATCGATCGCACAAAGCCTGCTAGCTATAGCTTGCCAAGCTGAAATACTGCTAAGCTAGCTAGCTAGCTAGCTTGATATATATGAGATCGATGGAGCTACTAGCTTAGCTTTGTAAGAGTTTGGCGTGCTACGGGGGAGTGCGACTATTGCCTATTTATAGGCGGCGTCTGTCAAAGAGAATTAAGAGATCTGGAATGGGATGCCTCTATGGATTTTTTTTAATTTTTAACACTTTTTGTAAACTAATTTTAAATTTAACACTGTTTTTTTTAAACTAACACTTTTGGCCGCGTCTATTGCCATGGCGTGGCGAAACGCCTGTGCCGACGTGGCGACAACCGGGGCGCTGACCGGTGACGTGGCAGGGTCTGCCGCGCCACCGATCTTGGTGCGGCATTGACGCGCCATGGCCCACGGCGCGTCAGGCCTAGGTAAATATCGCCCGCGACGCCCTCCCTCTGTCTGCCTGCCCGCCGCCGCCTTCTCGCTTTGCCGCTGCCTGCCCACCCACCTTGCTGCCGCCTCACCGCCGCCGCCGCCGCCACGCCGCCGCCATTGCGCCCACTCCACTCCATAGCGCCCGCCACGCGCGTCGGTCGCGCCGCCACGCCATTTAACGCCGGCGGCGTGTCACGTCCATGCCGCCGCCCACGCCGCCACCACCACCACGCGACACCCGCATTTACCAAGATGACGACGCACTTTTGACAAATGTAGTAAGATTAATTAAAGTCCTAATTAAGTGCTAATTTTAGTTTAGGCGTTCCTGTAATTAGGTTAATTAAGATCTTGTCTAAGTATAAGTTCTAACAATTGATATCTGAGAAGCCGCTTAGCCTAATTTTTGAACCTTAAGACCTAATTAGTGTTTGGTTAAGATATAAATAGCCTCGGATTTGTCCGATTCAAAGTTCTTTAAGCCAAATCAGAATATAGGGTTTCGCTTAAGTACCGAGAAGGAGGGGAATTGAATCAACTTCAACACTAAGCCCCAGTTTTTGTCCAAATCCAAACCCTAGGAATGCAAATTACCCAAATCCGGTAACAAATCACAACCCTAAGATCAGTAAGACGCTTTTCACTTACCTTAAGAACTAAGATGGCGTTGTCGGGCTCCTTCACGAGTTTGTCGGCGGCCACAAAAGGGAGCCACGCCGCCGCCCTGCTATGTGCGCGCGTGGTCTCCGCGCCACGGACGCCCGCCGCTCCACGGACGCCCGCAGTCATAGAAGACGAGGGTAGCAGGTCCATACATAGAAGTTGCTTCTTTTCCTAGTGAAGTTGTTTAATATGTCTGTTAATGTTACTTTGAATATATACATGTGCTTTCATATTGTGTTCGTATTGCATAACAAGTAGTTCAAATTTTGCAATGCTACATAATGTTAATTTGAATATTATTAATTTGAATACTCTAACCATTTGTTTATCAATTTGTAACAGGATGGCCCATCCCACGCAGCATCAGTTGTATCCCTTTTTGAGGTGGAGTACGACGAGCCACACTGAGCACACTTCTTGACTGACACCGACACAGAGGTGCCCTTGCCTCCTTTGAGGCTCCGCACGCACACCAGAGCGCACCAGTGGGACGAGGGTCGGCTTCCTCGAGCTTGTCCGTGTTGTCAACTACTATCTTCCGCCCCTTGACCCAGCACTACTTACTGCAGCTGTAGTCAGGTGCGAGTGCCTTCATTGTACGTAAACATTCTTATAACAAATTTGAGGTAACTAACAGTCGTTTTATTCTTATAATAGGTGGAGGCCTGAGACCCACATGTTTCACCTACCTTGCGGTGAGATGACCTTGACCATGTAGGACGTGAAGGCTATCTTTGGCCTTCGGTTAGGGGGACTTTCAGTGACAGGTATAGTTGACAACGATCACTGGAGGGAGCTGGTGGCTCAGTTCACTAGCTTTCTTCCACTGGACGACGAGGTTTCCAAGAAAAATAAGTGAGCAATTCAAGCCTATTTAATACTTGCATTGCTTTCCTGCAGTCACCGGGTCTCATTTTCTTTGGTGAATTTCAGGAAAAGTTCCTGTGTTTCTTCTTCGTGGATCACATAGCGCTTTGATTACTTGAACCCACAGGCTGATGAGGCTCAGATCGACAGGTTCGCTAGAGTGTGGTTCTGGCACTTCCTTGGTGCTTTCCTATTCCCAAACGCCTTGGGCAACACTATCAGCTGGATCTTTCTTGACATACTATGACAGCCGTGGATAACATAGCGGCGTACAGTTGGGGCAGCGCAATCTTGGCATGGATGTATCGACAACTATGCGTTGCCTGCCGTCGCACCTCAGGGTATACGAACCTTAGGGGTTTCTCCTACCTACTCCAGGTTTGGTGTTGGGAACGATGGCCCGTTGGGAGGCTCCTTGTTACTGGTTTACCGGTAAGTATTTCGGTTCACTATATTCTTCGAGACAGTTACATATGATAGAATTATTAATGGCTAATTCATTATCGTGTTCAATGTAGCATTGGAACAAGCAAGATACACTCCCTACAGCTCTGTATATCTGGACGCAAGCAGAGTTAGTTAGAGGGAATGCGATGCGCAAGTACAGGGAGTACACGGACTGTCTCGACGTCCTGACATAGCACCAGGTTACGCTCTCTTTACTATCATACATGTGTCTTATTCGATGTACACTATATCACAACCTAACTCAATTACAAAATGTTCAGGTGCATCGGTGTCCTTGGGATGCTCCAGAGCTCCAGTACTGTCTGAGTCCTGTCACTAGGGATGAATCAGACAAGTATCGCTGCAACGTCCGAAACTTGCAGACTCATGAACCAATAAAAATGCTATATGACAACTTGTCAACTTACGCACGGACTCCATTTATTTGCTTTATATTCGTTTCAATGCGTCGCGGCAACACTACCAGCGAGATTAACTAGCAACTAGTTCGGGAACCGGCAGTACCGATGTATCTCGCCGCCGGTGGCTGGCGTCTTGACCCTAATCCTCCCGAGCTTGGTCATCGCCACCACGAAATCGCCGAAGAAGGCACCCTGGTTGGACACGTAGTAGTCGACCGTGTTGCGCGACCTCATGTTGGAGTAGAGCACCTGGTCGGAGCACAGGAGGCCCTTGTGGACCTGCAGGTTCCGGTAGAAGGCGTTGTCGAAGCCCACCGGCAAGGGGTCGAGGAAGGCGAAGGCGTTGGGGTCCGAGTTGCAGGTGCCGTTCAGCTACGATGTGAAGCCGGGGTCCATGGTCGCGTCGCTGCCGATCCTCACCGACAGCAGCTCCCGTTCAATTGCAATAGAGGCTGGTCTTCTGTCTGCATCCAGGTCCTGCCGCGCCGTTGTAGTTGGCGCGTCAATGCCGCGCCGTGGGCCTTGGCGCATCAGTGCCGCGCCATGGTCTATGGCGCGGTAGACCCTGCCACGTCATCGATCAGCGCCCGATCGTTGTCACGTCACCCGTCTCGCCGCGCCACCATGCATGACGCGACACAGGCGTTTCGCCGCACCATGACAATAGACGCGCCAAAAAGTGTTAGTTAGTTTAAAAAAAAATTAAACAGTGTTAGATTTAAAATTAGTTTACAAAAAATGTTAAAAATAAAAAAATCCCTCTATGCATGATTACATATATAATGGCATGTATGCAGTGCAATATATAATACAAGATATATGCTACCTGAGCACTTTGGTTACTTAAATATTCCTCATCAGTCATCAAATGCAACAAGAGAATCTGGAAGATCCTGATCAGACCATGAATGAAATTAAGGATACGTGGTATGTAGTTGATCACTTCACGCTATATATCTCCGGAGAATATCGCAAGCAAACCGTTAATTTCTGATCGGACGACAGCCACAACGTTGGATTATGGTAGAGTGGATGATACGATACGATTCCTAGTCCTTCCTTCATCGACAGGTCCTTGGTTGGCCGGAATCTACTTTATTTTTTGATCTATGAAAAGATCCATCGTAATCTGTTAGAGGGCTAGATATATATGATGTCTGGGTGGACTGGCCATTTTGGAGTTAAAATCAATTTAATTACCGATGAACAAGATCATGACGCTAGCTACCTTCATTCGTGCCATTATTCCTCCTCAGGATCTGGAACGGACGGTGGACCGTATGCAATGTACAATTGGGAGTGAGGAATTCAAGAAAGTGCTATTGCTTTTCAAAGCTGTGTATATTAACCATATTTAACCCCGGTGGTATCCCCGCGCCTCAGGATTGTTTTTCCTCTTGACATTTGTGATATCAGGACATAGATGTGAATTGAGTTCATTCATGTCCCTGCATACGTATACGAGTTTCTTAATTTTGCTCCCCAGTGCTGCGTTGTGGTATTGGATTCTGCCCATGGGTGGTTCTGGATTAGATAGCATATATACACAACCGTATGTGGTTTTTGTGTACACACACTTTTCCTTAGATAATAACACATGCAGTTTACACTAGTAAAAAAAGGGCTTCTATTTCCGGCTGCCAACCTCTCTTTATTCCCGGTTACGCAGCCGGGAATAGGAGTTCGGGAATAAAGAGTTAGTAGCCGGGAATAAAAGTGGACCTTTAGTCCCGGTTGGTGATACCAACCGGGACTAAAAAGGTAGCCACGCCAGCGCCTGGGCTGGCCCCTTTATTCCCGGTTGATATTACCAACCGGGACTAAATGGTCTTTTTTTTTTTTTCCTGCTTATTTCAATTGATGATTCTTTTTTATTTTAATTTGGTTTTCGAATACGCATTATTCGCTGCAAAGTAATATACGTATATGCGCGCGTACTGTAAAATTTTCGCTCGATCAATGCACGCAAGCAACACAAGTAAAAGTAAACTAAAACATAATATTACATTTCATCGTCACATGTAAAGTTTGTATTAATTGTACATTTCATCATCACATGTTCTTTGGATCAATATGAAATTTGGCTTTCATCATCACATATTTGGGTCATAGTAAAACT